CAGCTCTCTGAAGGTGCTGAGGTACATTACATTGACGGAACTGCCCGTGTCAATGTAAGTTCGGTGAATGATGGTGTCGTTTATTTCAGTCCGAATCACCAAGGCATCCCTGTGAGGAGAAGAAGTAGGAGGGAGATCTGCGTTGGTGAAGGTGATGGGTTCCTCCCTCAGTCGCTTTACCGGGGGCATATGAGTGACCTCCCCCACGTAAAGCGATTGAGCCCACTTCTTCCGCTGGCTGGTGGAATCGCCCCCTGTATTGCCGCCGGTGATCATGAGGATGTGGCGTTTTTTCTCCTGGTAGTGGGGGTACTCCTCCTCTTCCTCCTCCAAGTTTCCGATCTCCCTCTTCTTGCCGAGGGGGATGGTATTCGGGTTCACCCAAGCGTTCACCTTCGTGTGGTGCCCTCGGGAAGGCCCCTGATGAGAAGGTCCCTCCTGCCGAGGGCTCTGAACAAATTGGGACAGGTGTCCCGCTTGTATTAATCTCTCGATGGCCGTTTTTAGCTGGTGGCAGTCATCGGTCTTGTGCCCCTGATGCCGATGGAAACGACAGTAGGGAAACTGAGGGTTGATAGCATGTACCTCCGGGGGTGCGCGAGAGTCGCGCTCAACGAGGCCCCTCTCCTCGGCAAAGTCAATGATGATGCTGACGGGGTGCGTCAATGGTGTCCGGGGGCGGTCCAGGAGAATGGGCTGTGCCCAAGTCTTAGGGTTGCTCTTATAACCTCCCCCGGGCTTGGCTTGGCCTTGCCGAGGGCGGTCGTCAGAGGGTCCAGAAGGCTTGGGGTGATTTGGAGGAGCCCCCGGCCCTCGGGGGCTGCTGATCCGGATGCTGGTGGTATTTCTCCACCTCCTCGGCCTCAGCATATCGGTCCCCCCGCTGCAAAGCCCTTATGTAGTCGCGGGGGGTTCAATGATGAGGCTCCTTGAAAAGTTGCCGGTGCGGAGGACGGTCTGCAGGAGGGCCAGGAGGGTCCCGTCATCAGCACCGTCGACTTTGTCGGCCTCCGTCCTCCAGCGCTCCAGGAAGTCCCGAAGGGTCTCATCCCTCTTCTGGCGTATGGTTAGGAGGTGGGAGAAGTGCTTCCTCGTGCGACGCCTCCCGGCAAATTGTGTCAAGAATCGCTGGGCGAGTTCTTGCCACGAATCAATGCAGCCCTCGGGCAACCGGTTGAACCATTCGTATGCCGGCCCCTCTAAGGTGGAGAGGAACCAACGACACAAATATTCGTCTGACGCCCCTACCATCATCATGTTGTTCTGATATTTGATGTAGTGTTCCTGGGGGTCCGTCTTCCCGTTGTAGGGCTGTATGTGTTGCCCTCGGTATTTTTCCGGGATCCGGGCCGCCAGTACCCTTGGGGTAAATGGCGTCCGGGTCCGGAGCTGGATGACGGGTTCCCCGGAGCCCTCGCCCACCTTCTTCTGTAATTCCTCCATTTTAGCCATCATGGCCTCGTATTTGAGATCTAAATGAGGGGTGGAGGTGGTGGCGTGAGCTTTGTTGGCCTCCATTTCGTCAAGCCGGCGTTGGAGGGCCGCAATAATTTCATCCCGGGGATCCTTCGGGAGGGTCTCCGCCCCCTGCGAACGAACCCGGGCCGAGTGGGACTGGTTGATTTGGTGGCGAGCATCATCGGCATGAAGGGGTGCCTTGCCTTTGTCCCGAGGGGGACGCTCCTCGTCTGCCCTCGAAACAGACCCTCCGCTTTCCTGGGGCCTTTGGAGTGCTTTCCCTCCGAGGCGGTCTTGGACCCCTCGGCGGTTTGGCCCTCCTCCGAGCCGGTTGAGGGTGGAAGTGCGGGGCCTTTCTCTGTTGTCATTGTGGCGGTCCCGGGACTGAACTTCCTGGGAGGACGTATCTTGGGCCACTACCCCTTCGTCGTTCCTAACCCGAGGGGTGGGGTTTCCGAAGGGGTGTGGCAGAGGGGGAAGTATGATGTTCTCCCCAACCTGGGGTTGAGCCGGAGCCAGGGTGCCGAAGGCACCCGGGTTCTGAGTGAGCGTTTGGATGAAGGCGGAGAGCGTCGATTGCACGTCGATGGTGAGAACCGGAGGGCTGACTTGGTCATCGCTCCAGTTTTTCTTCTTGGCCTCGATGCCGAGGCGGGCATCGGGGGCATTCTGCTGAATCTGAAGGCGTAGGTCGACAGCCGCCTGTTCCAGCCCAGCGATGACACCGCCCTCGGGAGCCCTGTGAGAGGCTTCGGGGGCGTTGACGTCGCCGAGGGCCAGGTTCTTGTCTTCTACGTTTTTGGAGTTGGCACGTGTTGTTCTCACCATTTTGGTAGAGGGCTAGTGTTTGGCGAAGGGGGAGGGTTTCTTACTCGATTGTTCGACCTCTCAACGAGAGCACCAAATGATGGATAGTGTACCCGGGGGGTAACTTATCCGAGGGGTTATTGCGGGGAGTAATAAGAGAGAAGTCAGAGCAAGTAAATGTAGAGAGAGAAAGTATATTATAAGTGTGGAGCGTTTTCAGCGTGGTTACAAATGGGGAAATGGGGTGCTATTTATAGTAGCAATAAATGCCGGACAGGGACACGTGTCAAGCGCCCATTGGCCGAGAGGTCACCTCAACTGGTTGGCGTTGGCAGCCGCATGTGGCCGCATTTAATGCGGCTGTTGGATGGGACGTCTGTACAGGGTACGGTGATCTGTACGCATGTGAGGCGGATATCATGTCGGGAGAGGTGCCCTCGGCTGAAGAGGACTAGCCGAGGGCTCTTAGTGCCGAGGACCCCTGAGTGCCGAGGGCTCCGGGTGCCGAGGGCTACTGTTTTCTGCCGTTTTTCCCCCCGTTTCTTAGTTTTCTCGAGAAACCCGTTCTGTGAGAGTTTCAGCCTTCGGCCAGGGGGCCGAAGGCACCCATGGCGCGTTTTGCGGGCTGCTTGGTACTCTGGGCGCTGTGATTTGGGCCTGTTGGGCCTTCTGGGCCTGTTGGGCCTTTACTGGAGTAGTAGGAGTCTGTGGGGCGGGGGTTCCCGGACCATATACTCCATCAATCATCTTGGTCACATTTTTGTTTAAATATAAATGTGGTCACATTTCTGGAAATCACCTTTTGTTTAGTAATATTAAGGGGAAAAGCCATTTTTTAAAAAAGTTGCATATTGAGTTTAATCAATTATATTTATTTGTGTATGTCTCGAGAAATGCTTCTCAAATTTTTGGGGTGTCAATAAGTTTTTTTTGCAGCACTTTCTATTTTCTTATAGTATATGTTCTGTTAAATGTCAACGTCCTTGATTGGATGAGTTTCGAACATGTGATCTCATCGAGAGTGTCACAGTGATGTCATCGAATCACAAAGTGCTTAGCAGTAAGTTTTTCTTTTACCTTTTATTTAATGGTTTTATCTGGTGGTTAAATTGTCAGTGAAACATCCAAAAATTGGACGGAAGGACTACTAATGATCAAGAAACATTAATCAAAAATAAAAAAGAACAAAATGAAAGATGTGGACTTAATTCATTTCCATACCAGAAAAAGACTTTTCCATAAACCTCCAAAATATCAAACTTTTTCCAACCGATTGAACAAACTTTCATATCAATTTGACACATTATATTCAATTCAAAAGCCACTTTGATATCAACGGATCCTTTTGTAGAAAACCCCATTTTCTCTGATAATATAAATGCTATATATTTAAGTGTATTTGATTACTTGCTATTTTCAATGATAATATAAATGCTAAATATTTGTTTCATTTCTTTTAATTGCAATGGTCTACTTTTCACGTTTATCAACGCACCAATTTGATCATTAATACCTTTCATTTCTTATTAGTAAAAAATTCAGATTTTTAAAATTTAAAATGAGAGAATTTTACTAATACTTTGAAATATTTAATTTATAATACATTAATAAATATAATGTGTAAATACTACAAAATAATGAATGTTAAAGTAAAAGAGAACGGATATAGTATATGAATCTCCACTACCAGATAAAAATGACTCTTTTTAACCACCGAGTAGCTACATACCACATGGATGTTCAAATATTTATTTCTAGTTTAAAAGTATTCAAAATTATAAACTACTGTTATTGATTACTTTGAGTATTACCTTTATTTCTTTGGGCATTTTCCATTAATATTACTAAATTAAAGCCAATTTCCAATTTCTTTGACTATCTTCTACTTTTACGCATTTCTACATTATTTACCACTTGAACTATATATGTTTCTTAGTCTCTTTGAAAAACTATAAGAACGTCATCATCATCATTACTCCAGTGCCACAAAGGCTCCCACTTACAGTGGCGTAAGGGGAGTCAGAGTAATAATAACAAGTGAATAAATACAGGGGGAGTAATAATAATTTAAAAGGAAAATTAAAATGTGTATTCTTGTAACTATAATATGAACTATGATACACTATTATTCATAAATATAATAATATTAAAGTTGACATAATATCCAATCAAACTAACTCAGACTAAAAGAAACCAAAACACACAAACATATTCTCAGAATAGACTAGCTAGGATCATACCACATCATATCTAACTGCTACTCATTCAAACCTAATTCAAATCTAATTATTGGAAGGATCTGTTGTTAGCTAAGCTAGCCTTTAAAAGTAGTACCTAAAATGAAACATAAATTGGATACAAAGGGGATAGGAATGAAAGTCAACTAGGCGCCTAAGCATGCATGGAATTATTATAAAGGCAGCTGACTCCAACTTAGAACAGTAGGATGCATATAACAGAAGCAGTCGGTCGGCTTCTATCAGTTCAAAAGACTAACTTCCTACGAGATGGTGCAAATGATGCTAGATCACGGATAGCTTCTCCCATTAAGTCTTTGTATACAAGCCGTTCTATGTCCAACACTGCCTCTGACATCTCTACGGGACAATCTCCCCAGCCATTAACACCATCTTGCGCCAGATCTTTTTTTAAAGCAGTGCGAATGATCTCAAACAAGTCATCCGAACTTCCCCGTTCTTGGATTCTTTGGAACTCTGGCAGTACCTTTTCCGTGGATGAATTTGCATCAATACAGTTTGGCCGTGAATAAACTTTCCATGGAGGCACTTGTTTCTCACTCCTATAAAGAATCTCTGTGGTAGTGTCAAAGATCAGCCTTCTTTGCAGTCTACAATTTTTTGATGTGTCTTCTCGTTTATAAAAATGTTGTTTCTCCAGTAGTAGAAAGATGTCTGATCCTTTGGGGAGGTAATGTGAAGCCTTAACAATGTCTGCGATATAGCTAAAATCAGAGTCAAAGGCTGCATCATCCGACTTCAATTGGACAGGTAAAATTTCTGTGGTTGATACCTCCTTGCCGAAGTCGCCTACATGGTGCACAAAGTAAAATTGACAGCTCTCTTTGACTTTTGTTAGGTATTGGCCCATTATTTTCGTAAGCCCAATTCAACTTAGGATACACCCGGCCCTTGCTCTTTCTTCTCTTCCGCACTACGCTATTCTGATCTTTGATGATCGGCTTCTTCCCTCTCGCGACACTTTCCTTTCTCTGGGCAGTAATGTGCGTATCTCCTTTGTAAGGTAAGTTACCATCCTTATTATCATTGCTCTGCCTATTTATTCTCTCTCGTTCTCTGCCGATGAGATAGCTCGGCCGAAACCCTTCTTCCTAAATAGCACCTTTGTGGAGCTTTAGTTGAGTTGGCTGAAAATACATTGAAGGCTGACGCCCCTTTCTTTCCTTTGAGACCTAGTGGTTTGAATTCATCCTTTGTGGGTGTCAAAGAAGTGAGACCTGAGCTGGATTCGAGTTCTTACAGTGGTATCAGAGCCATTGGAGGTCTGTCGTCGCCTCGCTGCCGCCTCGCCGCCGTCTGGAGTCGCCTGCCACCGGTCCAGAAGAGTTCAAGCGCCGTCCAGAGCTTCTGCCGCCTCAGGAAAGCTGCTGCCAGCCTCGGTCCTGCTGCTGCCGCCTTCCGGGGAGTGCTGCCGCCGTCCAGTCCGCTGCCGTCGTGCTCTACAGCAGCCCACGCTGCCTACGGTAAGTCGGGTAACCCAACCTCGGACCCCGCTCAGGTAAATTGGCGATAACCACCCTTGGTGTACCGGAGTGCCACCGGATTTATTCCCCCCCGCTCCCCCGCTGCTGACATGCGTGGTCTTGGATGCCGGCTGTGCCCGGTCCCAGGTACGTTTACTAATCCTTTGTGTGATTATTTATTCGTAGTTCATTCATTTTAAATTCAAGTTTAAATTGCAATTACTTGTTTGTTTAAATTGTGATTACTTGTTGGTTTGTGATTAAGTTTTTCCGGTGAAGAATATTTTGTTTGGATACTCGTTGTCCAAAATTGTGAATATTTCTTCCGGTTTAAATTTAATCACGTGTTGGATTTTTTTATTTTGATTTTTTCTGTTGATTGATTCGTGGATAAACTCTCCGGTTAAGAATATTTGTTTGGATACTTGTTGTCCGAAATTGGGAATATTTCTGTCCGGATTAGTTTTAAATCCCATTTCTTTGTTTGTTGATTTAATTCTAGCCTATTTGCGCTTGTACGAAAGAACAAGGAGATTGTACCCGAGCTTTGTGTTCATTGGTCTTCTCGGCTTGTTCGTGCTAGTTGCTTCGTACAATTGATAGCCCTATAGGTTATAATTAATCATTTATCTGTCTGTTGAGTAAATAAAATTTTTAATCTGTGCTTGTACGAAAGAAAAAGGAGATTGTACCCGAGTCTTGTGTTCATTGGTCTTCTCGGCTTGTTCGTGCTAGTTGCTTCGTACGGTACGAAAGAACAAGGAGATTGTACCCGAGCTATGCTGCCACGAACGGTTAAGAACTATGATGCCGTATGGGTTGTGGTCGATAGGCTCACAAAGAGTGCACACTTTCTACCTATCAACACCACCTATGCACTGGAGAGGTTAGCCAAGTTGTATGTGGATGAGATCGTGAGGCTACATGGGGTTCCTATAACCATTGTATCCGATAGAGATCCACGATTCACATCACGATTTTGGCCGAAATTCCAAGAATCTATGGGGACAAAGTTGAAATTCAGTACAGCTTTTCATCCACAAACGGATGGGCAATCTGAGCGGGTTATACATATATTAGAGGATATGCTGAGAGCCTGTGCATTGGAGTTCCAAGGGAGTTGGGACAACCATTTGTCACTTGTGGAGTTTGCCTATAACAACAGTTATCAGGAAAGTATAGGCATGCCTCCATACGAGGCATTGTATGGGAGGAGATGTCGTACACCATTGTGTTGGGATGAGGTTGGCATGGCCAAACTCGAGAGCACGGAATTGGTGGAGATCACCAAGTCTAAGGTGAAGATGATTCGTGAGAGACTTAAGGCGGCCCGGGATAGACAGAAAAGTTATGCCGATAAGCGCCGAAGAGCCTTGGAGTTTAAGGTGGGAGATGAAGTATTTCTGAAAGTTTCCCCTTGGAAGGGAATCATCTGATTTCAGAGCCGAGGGAAACTTAACCCACGATACATAGGGCCATTCGTGGTGCTTGAGAGGATTGGGACTGTGGCATACCGATTACAGTTGACTCCAGAATTGGAAAAGATACATAACGTATTTCATGTGTCTATGCTTAAGAAGTATATGTCGGATCCATCTCATGTATTAGAAAAACCACCCGTGGAAATACGGGAAGACTTGAATTATGTCGTGCAACCGGTGAGAATACTTGACAGGCAGGTCAAGAAATTGAGAAGCAAGAAAGTTCCAATGGTTAAAGTCCTTTGGAAAAGTGGCCGAGTCGAGGAGGAAACTTGGGAAACGGAAGCTTTGATGAAAGAGCAATACGCGTTTTTGTTTGAATGAGCATTGTGAATTTCGGGGACGAAATTCCCGTTAAGGGGGGGTGAACTTGTAACAACGACCCCGAGCATATTTACTTTTAGTAAATTATGTAATAAACCTTGAAGAATGATTTAAGAAATTGTGTGATTGTAAATTTTTACTATTTCTTTTACGTGAATAGTAAATTGCATGTGGGGCCCACAGTGGGAACGGGGACCGCCCGATAATTCCCGAACCACATATTATATTCATCTTGGTCTAGATGACATCTATATGGTGGTGGATATTTTATTTGGGCCATAAGAAAGGCATGGAGTTGACCGGTTAGTCAAACGGGGCCCAATTACCGGTATTGGTAAGTTAACGGATAACAGCCCGAAATGAGTTTCGGAGACTCCTAAATTAATGTTGGGGAATGTACATCTATTCTAAAGGCCCATAATTATTAGGAACACGGGATATATTTTATTTGGCCCGATAAGATAAAATATGACTAAAATAGTCCGAAAAATACAACTTTCGGGGTCGATTGTACATACCGGGACATAATGGGATGACCTCCCACATGAGTGGGGGCCACCCCACGTTTTTAGGTGTGCTGAGTGACCAAATAACATGGGGAGGACGGATGATGGAGATGGGAAGCCTCATGGAGACAAAAACCCACACCCCATGTCCTCTCTTAGTACTATTCTTGGTCTTTGATTGAGAGTAGATACATCCCCCTTCATTTTGAGCCATACACGCAGAGAGAAAAGGAGAGTAGCTCTGGAGGAAAGCTCTCACAAAGCTCAAGCAAGGGGAGAAGAAATCCAAGGAGAAAAGGAGGGTGTTTAAGGTAAGAACATAACTATTGTTCTTTAACTAGTTTTATGGAGTATGATTTGTAAGAAATCATATGGTGAATTAAACCTTGAGCTCTACACGTTTAAAAGTGTAGAATATTGTTATAAAGTGGTGGTAATTAACTTAGAAGGGTTGGCAAATTGATAGGAGTCGAAACCGCCGGAGACCGCCACTCCAAAGGAGCTGTTCGTAGCTGCAGACTACGAAAGCCGCCCAGCTTTCGTGAAAGCCGCCCGGCTTTTGCCCAGGCAGTCCAGTTTTTGCCTTCCATCGGTTTAAAACGAGGATTTATCGGGGAGCTCAACAAAGGCATCTATTTCAGCACATCATAAGGTGAGGATGGCTGACTATATTGCTTATAATTAATGAGTTAATTTCATGAGATTACCGAAGGTAATTAAAAGTATTTTTATGGATTATTAATGATTAATAATGCCTAAAAATGACAAGACTAAATGTCTAAAGCAAAAGGGAGCATGATATACAAATTTAAGAGTAAATTGTGTATGTTCATGTGTTATGAGTATGTTGACTTGAAAGTGGAATTTATTATGAAACATATGTTGAAATATATTTTTTCTTCATATTGGAATATATGAGTGATTAAAAGTGATATTTTGAATATTGAGATAAATGATATTTTTCAAAGGAAAATCAGTTGGAATTGTCTATATGACTATGAGTTGAGAACTTGGTTTGTTGATATTAATTTGACTAGTATTAAGATACTAGTTGGACATTTAAAAGGAATGTTGTTAAAGATTGATCCTTTAAGGTAGGAAAGTATGAACTTTAAGTTATACTAGGGGTAGGCCTTAAGGGATACTCAAGTTAATGAAAATATTAAATTGATCCTAAGTATAGGATTGGCCTACGGGTGTGTTCGGTAGTCCTTGTGGATAGCCGGTCGAATTATGGAAATAGTAAGGACCATGGCCCTTCCCGACTCTAGAGAGCGGGGTTGGATAGCATGGACTTACATCGTGATCACGGGTTAGGGTGGAATCCGAATTGGAGACCTAACTAGGTTCCGGTAGCGGTAACACATAAGATAGGACCCCGAAGGGCCTTACCTTCCTACGGGATGATGGGTATGAGTCCGGGGGCGGGATGTTGGAGTCCGAACCGGGAGCCTCATGAGGTCTCGGACAGCGGTAGCAAGTCCCGTAGAAATAATAGGACCCAAGGGTTGGGTTGTGCAAATGATAAATGAAAAAGGATATATAAGAAGGGCCGTGTGCCGACAAATGAATAAATTTACTTATTATAAAGATAATAAGTGGGAAATATAAATTATTATTTATATTATGATATCACCCTATTTTGAGGGTCTTGGAAATTAAAACGTTGATTATACTTAGTATAGTTGCTATTGTACTTGTCAAATATTTCCAAGTACTGACCTCCCCTTCACGGGGGAGGCCACCTCACAGTTTCAGGTAGAACTTGAAGTTGCTACCATTGTCCGTTGCTTCGGGAGGCTCAAGGGAGGAAGACGTGGTTCGTGCTTCTTCCGTTCTGTTTTAAAAACAATAAAGTTAATGCGCATGGATACTATTTTCTTAATAATTACTTTGGGGGTTTGTATGCCTAGTTATGCCAAGTGTGGCTTGAACAATTGTATTAATGCTTCCGCTGTTTTAAATGCATGTTTTACATTATGTTTGTTTATGGATGTACTATGTGTGAACGATATTCATGACGCCTTGTATAGTATGGATGAGTTGGACTGCGGTTGACTATTCGTACTGTACGGTGGGTTGT